ATTGATTGTTTTATCTAATATTGCGTTCTGTGTAATATAAGTTTTAACTAATATTGCACGATGGCGCCACCTATCTCTTTACTACAGCGATTTATATAAAGTGAGGTCGCTACGTTACAATTCGAGTAAAAATACGAAACAGCTGACGATTTAGAGCAGTATAGATATAACCTCTTTGCGCCGACGGAAAGTTTTTTTAAAGTTGGTCTTCAGCCATCGAGTGAGTGGGACGTCTTTTGTCCTCACGTGAATTTTTGTGTTGCGTCATGCAATTTATTGGGAATAAAGAGAAGGCTAAACGTGGATAAAGAGAAAGTTGAACTAGAATATCACAGAATACAGAGAAACTTATAAAGGATTTAGATAAACCTGTGTTATATAACCCTAGGGTTGAAGACACATAGTCGGAATTAATCCGACATCCTCCAACCGGAGGAAAAGAGAAAAAAAAAACGGAAAGTTTTAAATTAATTGCAAAAGTTCTTTTAGTGAAATAAATCAAGACATGTTTCGCTTTGGAATTAAACATTTCTTCGTTGCTAGAAATTTTAGCACTAAGTTTGATGAAATTAGCAATCTTGTTAAGGTAAATGAAGTGAATAATAATGGCACGTTTGTGCCTTATTACTTTATATAAGATATATCTATAAATATTTTTGTATGAGAGATAATATTTTCTATAATAGAGATCTATAATGTTAGAAATAATTAGACACAATATGATAAGTCAACGCCTATAATTTTTGTATTATCTTTTTACAGTTTTATATAAAAAGAAAAACGTAGTCATTGTTATTGTATTTGATTCTTGTAGAAAAATAAGGTAGTCGTTTTTATGAAAGGTGTGCCAGAGGAACCAAGATGTGGATTTAGCAATGCGGTAGTTCAGATACTACGAATGCATGGTGTTACTTATGATGCACATGATGTTTTAAAAGATGAAGACCTTAGACAAGGTAAATAATTATTATATATATTTATTACAAGTTTCCTTATTTGTGCAATATTTTAATAAAAAGCATTAAATTTCTAAAGAAAAGTATAGTTTTAAAAATATTTATATATAAAATTTATGGAACTTTTATATATTTTCTTAAACAATTATATAAATAAAATGCTTTTCTCTGTTTATAAATTATTGCTAATATTATAATTTTTAAATACATTAATATTAAATTTATATAGGTATAAAAGATTTTTCCAACTGGCCCACAATACCTCAAGTTTTTATAAATGGTGATTTTGTGGGTGGCTGTGACATACTTTTAGAGATGCATAAAAATGGTGAACTTATTGAGGAATTGAAGAAGGTTGGAATTACTAGTGTTCTTTTAGAAAATGAAGAATCTCCTCAAACTGATGTAAACAAATCTAAAGAATAAATCTTTAGTAGATGTAAATAAACTATAAAATAACTATATATTGTACGGATAAAAAATAGTTTCTTTTTATTACAATAAACATTTTTGTTAATGTTATATTTTTTATAATATCAATTATAATGCAGATATATAAAATCATATTTATTAAATATTTATTTATAAAGTTCCTAATATAATATAATATTTGGTATTTGTTTATAATAAAACTCCAATATTCAAAGAATGTGTTACAAATATTGAAGTTTTCTTCGAAGGATTTTTCCAGACATACTTTTTGGAATACTTTCTATAATTTGTACATGTCCTAAGTGTTTATACTTGGCTAAGCGTTCAGCGACAAATTTTTTGAGTTCATTTTCGTCAATTTTTGCCTCTGCCTTAGGAACTATGAAAGCCTTTGGAATTTCGCCATATTTGTTATCTGGCACACCAATAACGGCGACATCTTGTATCTTATCATAACCACGAATCACTTCTTCGAGTTCGGCTGGTGCAACTTGATATCCTTTTACTTTTATCATCTCTTTTAATCGTCCTTTCAAATACAATTGACCTACATTTTCCAATATACAATAATTGGTCAGCACACTTTTAACTTTTAACATAATTGTCGTTTTATATTTTCAAAGTTTCGGATAAAATCTTTGGCTTACCATCCTCAGCATAATATCCCAAATCACCAGTCTTGTACCAATCTCCATCCATCGTATTTGCCGTAGCCATGGGATTTTTGTAATATCCTTTCATCACTTGCGGGCCTCGTATATATATCTCTCCTGTTTCATTCGGACCCAAATTTTTACCGAGAGTATCCTCTTGAACGCTTACAATTCTCATCTGTGTATTTGGAATCAAGTAACCGCATGATGTCGGAGATCCATCAGAAGCACCTATAGCAGCAACAGATGACAGTTCCGTTGCGCCATATCTGTAAATTGCGAATTTCTTTCATTACCGATACATTTGTGATCATGATTCCTTACCCTTGAACGAAGATCATATCCTTAGGACAATAACTTCGAAATCTTTCGATGATTTCTTCTCCAAGCGGCGCAGCTCCTGAAGTTACATTTCTTAAAGATCCAACGTGACGCGATGTTATTTGTTTGTTATACACCATCATTTGTATTATCGGTGGTACAACATACATTATTGTACACTGATAATCTTCAAGTAGTTTCATGAATTTTTCTTGGGAGAATTGCGGCAAACACACCAACTTGGCACCCATTCTATAATTGTAAGATATACATATATTGTTATAAGCATATTATAATAAGTCTCAGTATTTTAAGTATTAAATAAATATTAAGTATGTTAAAAACAATCAGAAGAGCCAAGTCACTTAAGTATAATAAACTATATTCGAGCATTTATATGCTATAGTTACATAAATAAGATATTTGGTTAATAAATATGTGTTACCTCAGGTAACAATATAAGGACACTATTAATCCATAACAGTGATACAATGGTAATATCAGCGGTAGAATTTCCTGATGATGTTCAGTTGTTTCTCTTCCGGGAAAGAGTTCCGGAATCATCATTTGACGCATACACGAAACAATAGTTCTGGAAATTCAGTATTTTAATTGTCTAATGTATTAATATCATAGAGTAACAACACATACATTGAATGTTTCGATTACATTCTTGTTATAATAAATATAGACTCTTTTATTTAAATTGTATTTTTAATTCTAAATATTTAATATGTAATGACGTGTTTGCACACCTATGAGAAAGCTCAACGCCTTTCGGCGTTCCAGTTGTACCACTGGAATAAGGTAAAATTACCGTATCGTCATAATTGACTACAGTCTTTTCATTAACTGAAAAATCTTCGGTTTCATTACACATAAAATTGTCTAGATAATCCGCTTCAAAAATAAAATTATTGTTCACATTCCTATCGTTCACAAGAATAATGGGTATATTCGAATTTTTTTCACGACTCGCTTTGACGTCGCTGTATTTGGCCGGAAATGTGAAGATTGCCCGAATCTCCTCCTCTTTCAACTGCCTCTTTAACTCATATATCATGCACCCAGGATTAATTAGAATTGTCTTTAAAAAATATAACAATTATAAAAAATTATAATTACAACAATAAATTAATTTTTGGAAAATGAATATTCCGTTTAAATTATATATTTTTAATGATGTTAGTTTTCTTGTTACAGAACCACATTTTTAAAAAGTTCCAGAATATCCTTTTTCTTTGAAAGATTTTAATGTTTTATGTTATTTGTCTTAAATTATTTTAAATTTAAATTATTATAATTAAATTGCTGTAAGAGAATATTCTATATTTAACTCTATTATAAACTGTTCTTATAGGAAAGTGTAAAAAATAAGCAAAAAGTATAAAATAAATTTCTTAATTACTTGATAATATTTGGCCCAAAGTTATAAATAGATTGTAAAAGCGCGTTTTCTCTGTACAAGTTGTATAATATCATTATATTAAAATTTTCTTATGAATTATTATATTATAATAAAGAAAGAAAAATTTATTATAGGAAAATTGTCTAAATTTTTCTATCATCGTTTAAATTGTATTACAGCAACTTTATTTTCAGTAAATGCGAATGAAATTATATTCTAATGTATTACGTAAATTATATTCTAATGTAATACGTTAATTTTATTTCATTAATAATGATGATTTACTGATATTATTCTAATATATAATATTATTTTGCATAATACATATTTTTTTAATGTAATAATTTTGTCTTACACATAAACCTGCTTCATGCGCCGCTAGCACAAGCAGGGCAAATTCTGGAATATTTGGTAAAATCATAGCAATGGTATCTCCCGGCAAAAAGTTGTGTTTTCTTAGATTTGATGCTAGATTGCTGCATGCTTTTCTCAACTGACCATATGTATATGATTTGCCAGTAACTGCGCATATCTAAAGTGACAAAAATAAAAAATAATGTAGGCTTGTTAACTGCTAAGCAATATGAGAGAGCGGATGCCCAAGGATGAACAAAATCAAGGATGAAAAAAATAAACATTCACGAAAATTATTTATTTCCTAAATTAGAAAAATGTGCATTTCGACTTTACGAAGGTTTCCTCAACGAAAAGGTACGAAATAGTAAAGAAATTAATCGTGATCAATTTAAAATGAAATAAAATTTGATAGTGAGAGAAATAGATATTATTTTGTTTTTGTGTGCTTATGCAATAATATGGATGATTTAAAACCAGAAATTGTACATACAATGACTTTTATGTCTAAGACACTTATAAAAGATCAATAAATTTTTAATCATTTTCGACGATTTTTTTAACAGGCCGAAATATGATTACCTAAAAATATGCGTTACAAAGCTTGATTTTTTAAGAAACTTTCTCCTTTCCTTTTATTTTTCTCGTAAAATTATTATTTTTCAAGTAAAAAAATAAAATACATTATCATTCACAACTTGGAAGAGTGTGACTTTTTAGAAAAGAATTTATAAAAGCCCTCCCACACTTTAATTTTTGATAAAAAATTATCTCTAAAATTTTTCACACTTATTTAAAATCGCTCTGTATTTATAATACTACATTATTTTGAATTATATATGCGTTATACGTACGTACCAAAGCAGTGCGATTCGACCATTTTTCAACATTTTCCCAGACAAAATCGTGCAAGTAAATATTATCGAAGCCGCTCACATTTGGAAATCCACTACTAACTACATTTTGCGAGTCCACTTTTAACCTGACCGCGGTCGCGTAATGTCGATATTTTACGAACTTTCCTAAATAAAATTTTGGCGATGTATTGACAATGCATTCTCTTATGCATTGACTCAAAGTGCAAGTTGCACGCGCGAAGAACGATAGTTGTAGTATCGTCATCGTACTGGACGAGAGTCGATAAAGTAAATGTTTCGCTGAACATACGTGTGTATATATATATATATA